TCTACCTGTCACTGTGAGTGGGACAGGTAGCCTACTGGTTGCAAATTCCGCGTACAAATGTCCAACTGCAATATGTCACAGCTACACCTAGCTAAATGGGCCGGATCTAAGGCCATCCCCTCAGCCATGTGTCGAATAACTTCTGAGTTAGAATATAAACTATAGCCTTGGAGACACCCACATAACAACACCAACTTTACAAGGTGTTTTATTTTATTTTTTAGGTTTGTCAACTATGAAATGAATATTGAGGAAGATGGAAGATAGTCAAGTATGGAGAGGAGTGAATGCAGATTTTTGTCGCATGCCATTTCATGCTGCCTAGGAAAAAAATCAATAATGTGATCAGCGGAGAGGACGTAGCCCTTAATTAAGTAATATGGGGCTAGGGAGTCAAAGGGCTCTGTTGTCCTTTGCCTGTAAAACCATCAGCTAGGAATGAATGGGAGTTTGTTAGGCGTCAGTACTAGAATGAAACGGAGCATGGGAGTGAGTCAAGCAAATATTTAGCTATGGACTTGGGAGATATACTAGTTTTGGAGTGATTCAAGCTTCTCGAATGTTTGGAGATTTTATTATTGCCCCCCATTAACTCTTATCTTTCATTCTCGTGTTCTGTAGAAATTATCTTTATTGTCATTTTGATCGTGGTTTTGAATTAGCATTCTGCTTCCGTCCTGTTATTTCCAGTTCACTTTGCGAATTGGTATGAAAGTCTATCTTCTTATCTTATTTTTCTGACCTCATTTAGATTGAGCTGTGCATTATCTTGTCAAGTTACAATGTCCATAACTCGACAATTTTATTCTTCCCCTTGGTTGCAGGAAGTAGATATTTGGTCGTTTGGGTGTCTGTTATTGGAACTCTTGACCTTGCAAGTTCCTTACTTGGGGCTTACAGAGTTGCAGATCTACGATCAGCTTCAGGTTTTTTCTACTCTTTTAAGTCAGCAAAAGAAATCGACACAGCACGCTTGAATTCTCACTTTTTTAATTGTCATTTAGATGAAAATTTGAAGGATGTTCTGTGATCAATAATTTTGTTCTTATCTCAACAGAAGGGCAAGCGACCGGAGTTGACAGATGAGCAAGAGGAGTCATTGGGGTCAATAAAGGAAAGTTCAATGTCTCAATCCGTTCGAGAATCAGATAGTTCAGAGAAAGACCAAGAAACTGCAGCATTCTTGATTGACGATGAGCAAGAGGAGACATTGGGGTCGATAAAGGAAAGTTCAATGCCTCAATCTGTTCAAGGATCAGATAGTTCAGAGAAAGACCAAGAAACTGCAGCATTCTTGATCGACTTGTTTTGCCAGTGTACTCAGGAGAAACCGAGCGACCGACCAACAGCTGAAGAACTCCACAAAATTCTGCTTGAGCACGCAGCCAAAGTTAAATCTTTACAAAAGCTAGCTTCATGAAATCAACACCCTCATCCACCCCATAACCATATCAGAATTTTTGAAGCCGCCCTACTGGATGCTTGTAGGGCCTTTGTCCCAAGAATGAGTTAGTCTCACAGGTTGATTTAGGATACAGTGGCCAAGTAGTCAGGTAAGATAGAATAATTTAATCGTAATGTAATTGAAATCCACAAAGTTTTTAGGCAGATTTACCCCATTCACAGGACAATGCCCGATTAGACAGGAGAATCAATTGTGATGCGATGCAGTTGTGTTGAGAGAAAATTGAGGCCGTTCTAGAGAAATTGGGATCCTCATTTGATGCTGTACCTCATCATTTGCTTCAATATAGTTTTATATTATCAATTATTTTACCCACACGCTTTCTTTGAATTGACATTTTACCTTTATGGTCACGCGTATGTCTTCCCTCTTCCCCTCTTTTTGCACGTGTTTATTCATTCAAATCCACAGTCCCCCTCCCAATAAAATACTGCAAACCATGGGCTTGAGTTTGGTATTAAGTTTGGTTATTGATCTTAAAGATTTGATTCAATAATATTATAGGTTTAAATATTATTTTGTCAAACAAATGTATGAAAGTTTCTCTTAATAGGCTTTCGCACCACGATCAAGACTTGTAACCTTATATATAGACACCAATTTATGCTATGTGGCATAAGCTATGACTAGAAAAAGTTCTGAGTCTGTCGCACTCAACCTTATGTTGATGACACATGGAGTACGTCTTCACAGATTCAATATTGTCGGTAGTATCTTGGACATAGTTCAAATGTTCAAATACTGGAAAGAAAAAGGTGGCCGGCTTTGTTTTAAAACAGAGAGAGTGATTATTCTGAAATTGGAATCTTAATTGGCGCACCCTAATGGCTAATAGTAGGTAGGACTGAAAATTTGTTTAATAAAAAGTTATGATAATAGTTATTAACAATGCATTGGCCTGGCCTGGCATGGCATCCCTCTGATCTTTACTTTTTGTGTACAATAAATAATAATATATAACAGAGAGCGATGGAATTGGCTGCCCCGAAAGGACCACTCTAAAACCCTTATTCCTGCGACCATCCACTCTAACTCTACTCTACTTTCTAGCATCCATAGGCCTCGTTGCCTACTCTTTTTAAGTTTTATTCTTTGATTCTCATTCTCTCCTCCTCCTTTCATAAAGCTTAAAGTTGACAATAAGCATTTAATTTAAATGGTTGGTACAAAGCTTTGTAGCTTTCTACATTTTCGGACAACCTTTGGATATTTCTCAACTATTTATGATCATCCCATGTGATCTTGATATATGACGTTTGCATCTTTTTTTTTTTTTTTTTTTTTTTTTGTGAGGTGAGATTTTAGCTTGTGTGACGTGTCGTCAAGAGATTCGATGTGGACTATAACGTGGGCTTAGCTAGAAACTTGCAGATAGAACTTCACATCGGTATGTGCTCGACCACGTATACTCTAAAGCTTAAGTTAGTATCTAGTATGAGCTGATGTTGAACGAACTGAGCTTGAGTTTAATGCAAAGTGGTCGTGTATTTTTAAGAATGTGAGATTCCTTGGGATACACGACTCTACAAATTTGTACTTTCATTCAACGGATCTTCTGCTGATAGTAAGAAGATCATTTACTAGTGGAATTGACGTTTTGTTAGCTGTCAACAGATTTCCTATTGGTCATAATCATCCTCAATGCGTTCGAACTGTGTGCTTGGATGGAGCTAGTTTGTGCTTCATTTCACACTTGCAATTATGAGAGTAAATTGGATTATTATTATTATTTTTTTCCAAGCACTTAAAATGAGCTTAGAAACATAACACATCCAACAACATTTTTAAATGTTGGTTCCTCTCATATCAGTATTAATTGGTGAAAATTTAACTGCGATTAATCTAGATGGTATATTAGCTTCTTTTTTGTGATTAATTAATTTATAGTTAAATTACACCTACTTTTAAAAGTTCAATTATTGTGCCATTGGGTAGTTTAATATCAAGACACTCCCTTTGGGCTTTGCCAATGAAGTAATATTAAAAAAATAAATTTCAGTTATTTTCTTAATATTAAAAACTTACCAAACATCTCAACCATTGAGGAGGCATTATTATGTCGACTTAAAAAGTTTTAAATCTCATTCTAGAGTAAAATTATCGAATTCATTAGATTTATATCACTTTTCTTTTCTGTGATGAAGTAAAATATGAGTCAATTTTAACTAGTCAAAAGTTCAAATCTTCACCTCTCACCCCTTGTTTGAACCGGTTTGTTTGTTTTTTTTTTTTTAAGTTACAAATAATTTGTTAATATTATTTAAAATTCTTTTACTCTTGATTAATGGTATAGAAATGTCCAATGAAATAAAAAAAAATATTATAGCTTGTAGTTGTAGGTGTGGGTATTAAAGGTAAAGGGATCAGTGAGATCCATATTTCCAAATTGGCGTGGCTATGCATCAAAATTTGTACCCACGAAAGGAAACTCGACAAATATTGGGATCTTGAAGCACAGTGGAACCTGGTAATGGGCCAGGCCCACTATCAAATCTGTCAAAAAATTTCTTCTACTTATTATTAATTTACTGAAATTAATTTATTAATTGAATAAATGGAAGAAAAAATCATATTCAGGGGATTATACGCTATATAACGCAATGAAATTGTTCGGTTTGATTACAAAGATTTAGATTCTTTATATTCTCTTCCTAAAGTAAGAATACTATAATATTTGTGAATAAATTCCTTTAGCAACTGGTATGGTCCACTTGTAAAACCTAGGTTCGTAGATATTAAATTTCCTTTTGAGTTCAACTGTAGGGGTGGTACCGGATGGTAGTGGGAGATTGAACCGTCAATCTGCTCCAATTGATAAATATTAAAAAGTCGTTGGGAGCTGTGGTTGAAAATATATATTTTTTATTTATGAAAACAAAAATTAAGTAAAAGTAAGTTTGGTTAATTAGTTTTTCAAAAGTTGCTTTTTTAGAATAGCTAGTTTGAAACTTTCTTAGGAGAGGGTTAAAATTTTACAATATAATATTTTATACGTATGGTCCAAGTTTGAAAAATGCTTGGTTTGTTGACGGTGAGGACCAAATCTTGTGGTTACCACTATTAAAAAATTGACAACTCATTAATTTTTATAAATAGTCTCTATTTTTTATGTGGGTCTCGTGTCTCGAATCAAGTATTTTCCATAAAGAATTAGAGAAAAAAAACTCTAAAAATCTTAAGCGTTTTATATATATTTTTTGAATTTAACAGACACTCGTCCTCTTTCAAAAGTATGAGCCTTTGAATAATGATTATATATCCAATAACCTTTACAATCACTCTTGACCTATTTTGAAGAAAAGTTTCTAACAATTTCAATCTTAAAGTAAAAATTCAATGGAGATAAATTTAGGACATACACCTAGCTTTTAGACTAAGGGTTTATTTTCCTCTTGTGATTTATTCATAAGTTATTCTTCTTTTAAGAATTTTTGCAAGATAATTTTTGTTAAAAACATTTACCCAATCAGAGGATGGGTGTGACTGTGATCTCAAATTACAGCAGTAAAAAAGAATGCATAAAAGAAACCCTAGAAGGAAGAAGAAGAAGGGTAGCCCTGTAGAGTAGAGTAGAGTTCTATTAAAGTAATATCATTAATTACTTTCCACGTCATCTTTTCCCTTAATTTTTAAATTAAAAATCCTCTTTTTGCATCTTACACCCTCTTAATAGCACAATTTTTTACAGTTAGTCCCTGTTTATGGAAATACCAGAAAGTAGAGAGAGAGAGAGAGAGAGAGAGAGAGAGAGAGGAGAGAGAGAGAGAGAGAGAGTATATGTATTATCCATCTACCCAACAACTTTACAGAAAAAAAATAAACATTTTTTGTCACAAACTTTTCTATCCATAAGATATGCTATCCATTTATATATATTCACATGGGATTAAAAAAAAAGATTACAAAGTTAGATCAAAAGGACTATATAAAAAAATAGAAATTAAAGCAAACGCCTTTAGTTTTAATTAACATTCAACCCCATTAATTAAAAACTTGTATTTTCTCTCCAAATTGTCGTTATCAAAGAGGAGGATGCAGAGGTGAGCTGGCAGTTGGAAGGCACATTAAATGCTGTTTTAGAGAATTTTTTTTAAGCCATATTTTTTTTTATTTAACAAATAAATAATGTACTGAAAAAACAGGACCCGCGTAACCATAGTGTCCATGCACCACCATCACAATCTATGAAGGAAAAGAAATGTCTACCTCCTCCAAAGTCACAACATCATCAACTTCATTTAATGATGTCAGGAGAGATTCATCCCAAATTCCAAAACAATGTTCGGACCGATCATCTCAGGATCCTGATCGCAGGTGAATTCCCTCTCCAATTTAATGTCAAGAAAAACATAGAAATTGATTTCTAAGGTACCATCATGGAGTTTAAACTCATTCCCTCTCAATTTACATTAACCCTTCTTTTGGACAAACGAGCCACCCAAATAATTACGGGTCAAAGATATTAAAGAAAAATTATACAATGTGGTTGTTTTCTAAGAATGCTATATTTCACAATCTATCTACCCAACCCTTGCAACAGTTTAATATAAGTGCTTGAAATAGTGTTTTTTAATTCTTTCTCATATATATCAATAGTATAAAGTAATCCCTAAATAATATAAAATCTCACGATTGTTGATAATTTAAAGAGTCATATTGCAATTATGAAAATTTAAGGAGAGTCATATATTAGATAAAACTCCACAATAATCTTATATATTTTATACATATATATTACACAACAAATTAAGAGGGGACAACCCTTTGCTACATGAGAGGTGATCAATACATGAGAAAAAACAAGATCCAAACTTTTTCATAACCCATAATTCCTTTTGTTCCGATTCAAACATTCAACGGTAGCCACATCATATTTGATATTAGGGCCTAAAATAATCTCCAAAAAGACAAGAAAACACACGATCGAGAGGTGTGAAAGGAGAGAGCAAAAGATCCAAACTTTGTTACACATACAACCAAACGTTTGTATTGTATACGAAAATGCACAAAAAGAAAACAAAAAAATCTTCAAAACTTAGTGACAACTAAGAATTCCCATGCAGAAACAGCCTCATCTTTTTCTTTTTTTCCCCTGTTTGGATTGTTCTGTGGAAGAGCTCTTTTGGTACCTTTGTAGTGAATCATCAAGAACAGTAAAAAATCTCTCTCTCATAGGCAGAGAGAGAGAGAGAAAAAATAGGTCCCCACGCCAGGGCGAAGGCCAAATATAGGGTTGAAAGGCTAATTAATGCAGAAAACAAAACACCCACTAAGCTCTCTGCAAAAGAGATGCATGATAATATTCAATTACCCACTCCCAATTCAGGACCACCTAATTTTCTTTTTCTTTTTTCTAAGCTCTTTGTTTTCTTTATTCTATTTATACCCCTTTCTTCAACCTCTGCCTTCTCCATCCCAAACCCTAGAAGCAATTAATGGTGCACCACTACCAGTTGAAGCTGCCAGCATGATCTTAACTTTTCTCTTCTCTCTCTCCCTTTTTTTCGTTGAGGAAAGATCAGATCATGCGGCAGTTTCACCTGTTGTTGGTCTGCCCTACCAAACCCTAAACAAAAATTCTATCTCTTTGCCCTACATGGATTCAGGTATGCCATCCTTTTAATTTCTCATTTCATTTTACTCTCCAATCTTCTTCTAGTTTTACTATTGGATTCCATCTGTCTCGGGGAGAACTTAGGGGCCGGCCGAGATTTTAAAGTTCTCTCTAATTTGTCTAATCGCCAAAAAGATGGTAAAATAATTTTGGGTTTCCCCTTGGTGTAGGTTTGTATTTGTGCTATTCCCACCACCAGTGGTGGTGGCATAGAGGGCTTGTTGCCGAATGGGGTTACCTCTCCCTAGTTCGAAGCTCGCGGGGTGTATAGCCAGGGTTCCACCATTTGGGGGCAACTTCCACAATGTCGGTTATAGCAGTGGGTGGTCATTGATAGCCCCGATTACACGAGGAGCTTTTGGTGTAAGCTACAGGACATCGATTCCAGGTTATAAAAATATATATATATGTATATATTTGTGCTCTAATTCCCAGCTAGGGTTTTCAATTTTACTTCGGTTTTTTGTTTGTGGCTTATATACAAGAAAAAGGGTGTTTGTGTGTAGAAAACTTGTGGCAAAGCCCAAAGGGCACCCTAATTATTGAGATTTTGGTGATGCTATTTGTCTGTTTGGTATATAGTTTTTGGGATTGATGCCATAAAAATTTTCACATGTTGTGAATGATCTCTCAGCTCTCTGCCTTCTGCTGTGTGTGTTTCAAGACAGAGAGAGCATTAATTCTCCCTCTGCGAACAAAATTGGATGAAGAGTGTCATCATAATATACACCAGTTTTAACGGCGTTAATCAAAAGTTGAAAAACTGCACCAAAACAACTCTTAATTTATGGCAGATGCTTCTGATCCCTTTGTCTCATCTCTTGATTCTTCTTGCTAAATCCTATTTCTAAGCAAAGCCTGTGATTAAAAAAATGACTGAAATTTCATTTCTTTTCCTGTGGGTGTTGTCTAAATTGTTTGTTTTCTCTCCTCCCCTCTGGTTTCTGATCTCTGCATACCTAAAAAGGGATCGAAATTCATTTTGATCAAAATGATTGTCAGCTGGAAGAGATTGATGGGGAGACGATCTCTATTTGAGTGGCATTAAGTTTAATAAATGGGGTCAACGTGAACTTAATTTAATGGTAATTGACATACCTCTCTAACCAAGAGATCATGAATTTGAACTGGTTGTACTGAGAAAAAGTTTCTTAAGAAATGGAGATTTTTTTGTTTGTCTCGATGAATAGTGCTTCCCACAGCATTCATAAACAAAGTGGGATTTTGATTAATCCACACACTAATAATGACTAATTGTATTGCTTCGGAGATATATTTGTTGGTTTAATTTCTTTCTTTGAATACTGATCTCGAACTTTTCTCTTATTTTTGGTAGGAATCTGTAAGCTTTGTCCATGCAGAGAAGTTTCATATTTCCATTAAAAGTAACATAACAACAAAACAACTTTACAAGGATATATATATTTTTTTTGTTGGCTTTTTCAAATATGAAATGAAGATGGAAGATAGTTAAGAATTGAGGAGTTTTTGGCAGAGGTTTGTTACATGCCATTTCAGGCTGCCTAGGAAAAGTCACCCACTGAAGAGCTTCAGAATATCACATTATATTTTCCTTTCTCAGAAGGTTTTATTTTTATTTTTATTTTTATTTTTATCTCTGTGATTTCTCTTTTTGCCCCCCTTAGGCCTTAGGTTTCACAAAAGAGAGATGTATTGATGAATAGTGTGCAAGGATTCTTTAATTTTCATTTACCACTACTGTTTTCTTTTTCCAAGTTTGGGATTGGGTACTGTTTGGAAGCAGAATACCATGTAACTGATCGGTATGTACTTCTGGAAAAATAAAATATTTGTGGGAGAAATATCTCTTGATATTTATTTTGTTTTATACATTTGCTTCTAATTTTTTTGATTTGGCATAAATATTAGTTTAGTTTTTGTTAAATTTACATAATCTATTGAAGAAAATCTTATATGTCGTGTGTCATTTAATTATCTGTTTACCTAATGAGAAAATATTTATGTAGACATTTCTCGGAAGTCGAAGTCAGATGTAATAGTTTAATTCCGTTGGGAGCTAGATTTAATAAGCCATGAGTTGAGTTTTGGAACTGATCAAGATTTTTTTTTTTTAATTTTTTATTTGGAATAAATGATCAAGATTTATATTACATAGTTAAATAAAGTAATAACATTAATAAAATTTTATAGAAGTCTAGGAACTTTAGTATAAAAGTTAAAAGTTTAGTACTAATAAGTCTGTTTAGATTAGAGACTATTAACGTAAGTTTAAGCTTGACATGTAAGACACTTAATAAGTCTTTCAAAATAAATCAGAGCTATAGATATCTTTTTCACTTTATTTTTCAATATTTTCAAAATAAATTTTGCTAATGCCATTTTTTACTTCTTTCATTCAACGTGTTTAGAACTTTGATAGATTTTTACATAATTTCATGTTATAGAACTTTTTTTTTCAAAAAATAAATTTGGTTTTCGAAAAGCTATGGATTTGCAATAATCTCTAATTTCATGTTTTTGCATGAATTTTTCAATGCATATTTTCACTGTTTTACTCTCCATTTAATTTCTAAAATAAAATAAAATTAAACAAAGATAGTTAAATTTCTAACTCATGCTTTTATTTTAAAAAATAAAAAACAAGATAGTTATAACAATTATTTTTTCTCCTTAAAAATGAAAAAATTAATAGTTAATTGCAAATATAGCAAAAAACAGAGGCTCAAAACAAATGAAAAAAGAAAAATAGAAAATTCGATTATAACTCTCGTGTTAATATACTTATTATCAAATATATCTGTGATATAATTTATAGTTTATGTATCAGTTATATATACAGTATATAAGTTATAATTTATATACATCAATAAAGTATCTTAAGAGAACAAAATTGGAATAACAAAGAAAGTGAAAAATAATTCTAAAAATTTCATTATATTTGCAAAAAAAAAAAAAAAAGGAGAGTTCATCCTATACCTATCTACAAATTTGGTAAATATTTTTGTTATCCATTAAAATATCCCGATTAAAATGAGCCAGACTCATTATGAAATAATGGTTAAAGTTGTCAAAATTAATGATTCCTAAAGATATCTCTACAATACATTCTTTTGAATTAAATTAATAGACTTTTAATAAAATAAAATTTCATCTATAAAATTTTCCCAGTGTTATTGTTAAGGATGTACTTTTAAAAAAAGTGGTTTTGTGTAAAAAGCACTAAAATTAAGTGACTTTTTGTTCTAATTTTCAAAATTACTTTTTTTTTCTTTTTTTTAGTTCAATGTTTGAAATCAACCAAGATTAAACTATGCTTATACTCATATTGGTATAAAGTTTAAAATCTTGACGTCTTCTTAAGAAAAGTTATAAAATTTATTTACAACACTCCTCAAATAAGCTATAAATTTTATTACTAGATCAAAAATCATATTGGTAATTATTGGTGACATTTAACATGTATATTTTATCGATAGTTGTATAATATGTAAATAATCTTGATTTACTCATAATATTGATGTCAATCTTTCCATTCACGGAATGAATCCAGATGTTGACAAATATTTAAATAAATTTAACAGAAATTTCTTCACCTCATGAATGGTGCAGTTAAAAAAAAAATAAAAATTTACGACTCTGAAATTGTGTCAACCTAACCCAAGTAGTTCACAGGAATTTCTATTAACTTATATTCTGGATTCAAATAATTTGGCTCACACAGTTATCCCTAATCCCAAAATTTACCCAAATTCATTAGTTAAAAACAATTCTTTTACTTATGGCGGGATTGAGGAATAGTAAAAGCTATACCAAATCAAAGAAGGATGTTTATCAACACATTTCAAAATTCAAATAATTATGGTATCTAATTTTATTTTACCCAATAAAATTTTAAGATTTCTTTAATCTTCAATTATTTTGCTTTTGATAACTAACATTTTTAAGATCATGCAACTTAATCATCAAATAGCTTGTCCACGCACACTAATTACATTTAGCCTATAAATAGAGATATTCGACCGCTAGACCAGTGAGAATGCCGGACATTCCACTACTATTTTTAAACTCAACACAAACCATCTCAACTCAAATATTATATAGTTAGGTTGACTATTAGATCGACTAACATTATATGGATGCTAAGTATAAGTTTGGTATTCGACTTTAACAGATTCTATGACAATGCGATCTTGGTGACATTGTTTCGACGTAGAATCTACCGTAACATATGTTGCATTAGGCATGCAGGAAAGCCAAGAAAAATGGTATAAAAAAGAAGAGGGAGATGGAATTTCTAACACATCTATACTGATTCATTATGGGAAAACAGTTCTTTACAAATGTGGGTGAGAAGAGAGAACCTGTTATCTATGGTGGGCTGTGCTACTTGATTTTGACACTAAGTGCAGCATTAAAGCATGTAAAAACTCTTCACCAACGGATCTAACTAACCCATCTCTACATCTATTCCAAACTAAAACCTCAAACCACATTGATGATGATTCGTCATTTACAAGTTGAGTTTCTGATGGCTGAATCTCTCCGGTCATCGCTCCGACCACCGCAAGCTTCTCTCCTGTGCTTGCTGCTTCTGATTTCTAACAGTAAAACATTACTCTCTTCACGTTTTCCTTTAGAGCTGGCAAAGGACGAACCCCAGTCTCCCCTGTAGCTCGTGTGCTCTTGGCAGAACGACCAGCTGACCCATTCTCTTGCATCTCTGGTTCCATGTAGAATCGAGCTCGGAATGCTGCTAAATGTGCATAATATGCTGGAGGGACTGCAGGAATGTCGAAACGAAACTATAAAATTCAAGTTGGAAGAAAAAACTAATGCACGGTTATTACGAGCTGGCTTACCGACAGAAACCGAACGCGTACACCTTGCATATGTGTAGCAAAGGTTGTTTGTTAACGACTGAATTCCGTCTGCAGTGAAATTGTTTTCATCCCAAAGAACATGGTAATGTGCTGGCCGACTTGTACCCTGCAACAAAGAGAACAAATTGTAGTTTATTCAAACAAAGATTATGAACCAACAGTTCAGCTGAGCTGATAATAATTTTGGAGAGGAAGGAGGTAAATACCTGAATTCCAGCATGGCTACAGAGGTAAAAGTCAAATTCAGTTGGATGGCATATTTTCGAGTCGACTACGGTGCCTGAAAAATGAAACGACACACATAATGGGACTAAAAACTTTGCACTTGCTTCTCCGATGGGCATGTTGATAGTGTAAACAAGGATAAAAGAATGTACCAGGCAAAATGTTCCCACTCTTGTCTGTGCTACTCCTGTCTCTATAGTTGTTGGCGAACAATCGGGTGTGGTGTCGTTTTTGTACGACGATAAACGTTACAGGAGGTTGGTAATTCGGTTCAAGAGAAGCGCACGCCTAACACCAAAAGATACCCAGAGAGTTAAAACCTAAAACAAATATAGTCAGAAGCAAAACTTAAGAGGAAGAATTAATCAGTTTCTCACCTTCCTGATTGCATCCAACTCATAAAGTAATACTTGATAAAACTGTCCTTCGCTCACGCCATCCCTGAAACGATTATTACCGAAAAAGTTATAGAGTCAAAGTCGCCGAATGCCATAGTTTTCCAGTAAAAATCACATGAAAGATGAGATTGATGACCTGTAAAATATTATTCTTAATGGCTTCTGCCCTGTTGCCTTCCTAAAAGAAACCAGAAGATCCCTGTGACAACAATCGGTACTGCAAATATTAATACTCCACGAAAAGCTTTCCGGTCTATCTACTTCCATTTCTGGAAAAAGGTACGTGAAAAATAATCGACAACGAATGAGACCTAATAGACTAATACCTGATCATGCCACCACTAACCGTGCCACGAACAGGATCCTGCCAAGTTTTATACAAGTCTTGTATAAGTTCCTGTCTATGAGCCTGAGCACATACTAGTCCAGCATATTTTGTCACTTCAGGCCAATCCTGAGAGGCTACGACCTGCAATGGATCCAAATTCCATTAGTAATATAGCAGAAACGTGGAATGAAAACAAGTTCAATATATCAGGAACTAGAGACTGTACAGCAGCTATTGAAGGGCTGGAATCTTCGCCATTCTCGGGATGGGTCACATCTGCTCCAAATATAATCGTTGGTATGTCACTCACGAGCGGTATCCTGCAGCTGATAGCATCTAGAAGGACAGTGTTTCTACCACCCATCTGGGATAGCAAAGTGGGGAAGAAGAAATCAAAAGTAAACATTCATCAGAATGCAGAGTGATTTGAGTTTCAAGCAATCCATGAGATATAAATAAGCAAACATAGTTTTCATTCCTAGGTAACTGAAGCACTATCATCAGGTCAAGTGACAGTTAATGACGAAGTAACTGCACTGGTTCTTCATAAATCATACCTTGACATTGATCTTCAGGGACACATTAGCAAGGTACTGCTTGCTAATCTTGAACACGTGTTTTGTAAGACAGCATTGTGATATTAGACCGAGATCGGTTTCACATATTCGTTTAAGATCACCTACAAGTCAGAATAATAGCAAAGATAAAATATCACTTTAGAAGTTCCACCTCAATTTCCTGATCATTTTGTAAGCAATTACAAGGCCTATAATCTTTGGCGGAAAAGTCGTATAGGCTCACCGTAAAGAGATCCGTTGTTGTCTGGTAAAATAGCTAACAGTAGCTCTAACTCTTTTCCTTTTGTTTTGTTCGTGGAAGCATGATAAACATGCTTCAGAGCTTTCTCTACCTGTTCTGGCCTTGAATTGTATATTGGAATAACCGGTTCTGGATTAAATTCCTACATTAGTGTAATTTAGTTAAATTACAGGTTGAGAAAATGAATACACATTTAATTGAAATAACCAAGAAAGAACCAGCCCAAATATTACCATTCCAGACACTTGACACATTTGAGCAAGTTCGGAACAAAACCCACGAGCGACGCTCTCTTGCACACTCCGAGAGAAGTTGATACATGCCCACCGGCTAACAGTCATTCCATTAATCATTTTCTGCAATACATGGGAAAATGCAAGTGTAAGATTAATTTCCAAGCAAGTATAGTTTTGCATTAGCTTGCACAAAATAACATCCAAATCGACTAGGAGAAATTGGCGGTTGTTAAAATGTGCTTTGTTTAGAACAGGAGGAAATTCATTACAAGAGTCAAAGTACTTGCTCCTAAGGTACTTCTGGAAATTAAAATATGATAATATGATGTACATGTAAAAATGATAGAAAAATAATGGACCCACGTTTATCTAAAAAGGCATATACCTTGTTCATCATATTCCACTGACCCACTTGAGGCAAGCAATCCTTCTCTTTGCCAGTATCATGATATTTCAGCTGCGTCAGTCCATCATGAAGTAGCCGTTAGCATAAACTAGACTATTTATTAACTTACCGAATCACATAAAACTTGGAAAGAGGTAATGCATACCCATGGAGGAGGAAGAATTCTAGCTTCAACAGAAGCCAGCTTCTCACTGATTTTAATCCCAAACTCCTTTGCATAAGGATCATTGTCATAGGCATTATGTTGAACAGTCTACCAGAATTTGGAAAACAAAAGAAGAAACGATTATTCCAGTAATCAGATGAAGCCAAGAAAGAACATCATAAAAATATTTCAATTTAACTTTCTATCAACTGCCTCGTGGACACTGAATATGTTCACATTTCAGCCATATGAAACCTTGAACAATTTAACCAGAATCAACAACCTTAATTTAGAAACGATAAGACTAAATTATCTTATAATAGTATAATCAAGAAGACCGATCTCTTTGAATGCTAATTTTTTGTAATAGCCAAATAAACTGAAGTACCAAGACGATATTTACACGACAAAGACTGGCCCGTAAAATGTCTCCCAAGATTACCTGCAAAATGTCATTTTCTCGATCCCTAGGTCTTTGACACGTGACTTTTAAAAGTGCAGTTATTTGCTTCTCATTCAATCTTTTCGTATATCTTTGCCCCTCTACAATTTTGCAGGCCTGCAAACACAAAAGCATTTAAATTGCAGTAAAAACATAAAAAAAGTTCCCATTTACTGTAAGGAAAACGGGTCATGTTGGGTGCATAAACCTGGTTAGAAACCAAAACTTCATGTCTTACCATCATTTTAACGGGTTCGGGTAAATAAGAAAACAAGACCAAAGGCAGTAGGGTCTATGTTTTTACTATAATCATAATAGGGGAAGGATTAAAAACTACCTCCATTGGTAAATAATTTGCCTTCTTCTGATTTCCTACTTGAAGGCAAGGAAGATGTGCATGTTGAATTGTGAAACCATACATCTCCTGGAAGTATTCAACAACTGACTTCATGGTTGAGTTGTCATCAACAGGAAATCTGACAAAGAGGTATCATCAGTAACCAGAGCATTTCCATAAATTACCGCTATCCCTATATGGAAAAAACATGAGAGTAAAATTTGAATTTGTACTTCCCACAATACAATACTCATATCATGAATTTTAAAGCTTACACTAGTTCTCTTGTAGGTTGTGATGTCAGACCCGAAACTCGATACTTCCGCCTTACATTACCCCGGTGAGTTACTTCAACTTTCACACCTCTAAGAGCCTTTTTTATCTGTTTTATGTCCCAGGCTAAATTATACTCAAGAATAACAAAGAAGTATCAAAAGGACTTTTGGGGGTAAAAAAACACATGACCAGATAACGACAAGCACCTTTACTCTATCGGAATCAGACAATGGCCGCGATAAAACATCTTTGCCTAGAAGCTGAGCTACAAACTCAAGGACAGGGAGAGGCTCAATAAATGCAGCTGAAGCCATATCTATTAACAAAAGAATGAAAAGAATTAGATAAGTAAAATCTGTAAAAATTTATGCACAGAGCTTTTGTTGTGAAGTTTCTCTATTTACCAATGTTCAAAGAAAGTCCCATCTGAGTAGGCCTTATACTCTGGTAAAAACCACACCATGATTCTAACCCATCGCCAAGCCGTTGTGGTGATCTAATATCAGGAGAAAAGAAGGATCTCCCTATTTGGCAGTACCTATACATGAACTTAAACCATGATGAGAAAAACAAAGGTACAAAAATGAGCATGTTTTGCTGATCCTTAGATGAACTTAACCATAATAAATAGAATGATCGATATTCTACCTTTTGGATGACAGCTCTCTTAATACAATGTCTAATATTTGAAGAGCTTCTTGTGGAGCATCGGCGCGCTTACCCGCAAGAAACTGACCCAAATGGTGTAAATTTGCCCGTGCAACAAACTTAATGACCACTTTATATTCCCTCTCCCTCCTGAAAATTTGTAAAGAAGTTTGCAGTCCTATTAGTCAAATGACAAGCAAAGCATTCTCATAAGTTCAAAATCTTAGATTTGTTTCTTTTCGCATCGGTTAAGTTTCATAATGAAGAAATACAAGAAATTGACAACACACAAAGTAGAAGTTTTTCAAATTCGAAGAGGGAGTGGAGAAAAAACAAAGGCACTGTTAAGACTGTAAATTCTTACTTGGGACCACTGACTCCATCTTCTTCATCCACAAGCTTGATGTTAAACTCTTTCCAAACAAAGGGAAGTTCACCAGCTGTATACAGACTCTTTCTGCCATCATAAGCTGGTAATCTTTTTCCCAGATCAGATTCTCTGTATAATCTCACCAATTCACCCACGATGGCTCTGTTCACAGTTCTTGATGCCACTTCAGGGGTAATTGTAACCTGCAGAACCCCACCCCCAACGGCGGGAAAACAAACAAACAAATAAATTAATAAAAAAGGAAGAAAAGTTACAAGTCAAGCGAGCAAAAAGAACAAACGTGAAGAGGCTATTTAAGATGAGAAAAGGACATGTCGAAAAAGAGAGACATTCATTTTCATCTGCAATACAACAGCAAAAAAATTTACAAGAAAATTGCAACGTAAATTGATTGTCAGATGGAAGGGACCCCCTTCTCCCCCCTACCCAGTTGTTAAAAAAGAACAAATAAAATATGTTGTCTGCTGTAGGCACATGAACTAGAATGCTAAAGGAAAAAACACTGTTAATACTCCTCTGCGCTTACATCATATTGATTCAAATCTTTGTCTGGTAACTCTGCGAAGAAATGGTTTGCTTTCACAATACACCTTGTCCCGACTTGCCCGAACCCAGGCCTCGGGGCAAAGCTCAAAGATTTGCTTGAATTCCGAAACCCCATTGCCATCCCACAAGCGTTTACACCATTGGGAGTGGTTTTCGTCACCAGGGCTCCGGCGGTCATCTCCGGTCCGTCGGGCTTACGCGCCACCGTGCAGGGCCGAGAACTGGGCCTCAAGCAGACTTCTCCCTGATCGGATTTCCGGCCGCCTCTGCTCCTCCTCCGGCCCCTGTTTTTGCTCGGAGGGGAAGTTGGGTTCCGGGATTTGATGTTCTGGGGCGGCTCCAGATTCGGCGGGCCTTTCCCATTTTGGGTTGATTTTGGGGCTTTCTGAACAGCGTTCTGAAAGTGGGTTTTGATTACAAGGTGCTGCTCCGAGCTCTCTTTCATTTGCCGTACGGGCATGGTGGGTTTATCCTTTTTTTACTGTCTGAAAATCGAATCGCAATGCACGAGAAATTGTTTGGAAGAAGAAGCTAAAGCTTCACTAAATGGTTATAACTTATAACATGGAGTGCCTTCAGAATCACGTCTATTCTGAACTCATTTTCCCTCTTCTTCACTGATTAAAGACGTCATCCAACTGAGGAGAGAAAAAAAGAACCCAGAAGAGGAAAATTGCATGTCAGCAAAAATATGACGAAAAAACCTTCAAAGGTTAAAAAAACAGAAACAATGGTGCAGAGAAATGCATCATTGTTTCATACGCAAAGTAAAGTTGCAAGCGGGTAAAACTTTGGCCGTTTCTTCAACATCTTCAAGCATTACTATTCCTTTAGCCAAATCGAAAACCCAATAATAATATTTCCTCTGTTTCAGCACACATATTCCCAAAAGTAATTTAACCAACGAATGTTTAAAATAACAGAGGACCCATATTTTATACAAGCCGGAGAAAGTCATCACCAACGAGTGAAAATTTCCTAAATGCAAGGACAAGAGTTCCAAAAAGTTAACAAAATTTTCGAAACCCAGATCTTATTTAGCAGTCCGGGGTCTAAACCAGGGACCAAATCTTTGATTAGGCAAGACAAAAAATAAAACCCAGAAAAATAAACCGTGTCGAAACCCAAAGCGGAAATACCCAGAAGGCAGACCATTTACCATTGTCCTGTCTGCCTATTTGAAACGAAAGTCTCGATGGCGATGAGTAAACAAAAACCAAGCAGATAAAAACGGAGGAGTAAATTAAAAAAATACATAGGGTATTAGAAGGAAGGAGAAGATATGGAACTTGGAGAAGTGGCAGAGACGGAGAATAAAAACATCCAGAAGAAAACAAAAACCCATGAACAAATCCAAAGACAAAGAATAAACATTGAAAAGGGTAGTAAAATCACTATCCGGCTGATACCCAAAGATTTAATGATGCAAAAAGGGCCGGCCCCATTGAATGCCCGCGAAGTACCAGTGAAGAAGAAACGCAGAATTTGAAAAAAGAGGAAAAAGGAAAAAAAAAACTCACCAAAACCAAAGCAACCCAATCCAATCCAATCAAGCAGTGAGGTTTCAAAACTGGAACAAACCAAACCAGGCAGTGATTTGAAGGGGGAGGGGGCAACAGGAAAGAAACGAGAAAAAAAAACAGAGAAAATAGAGGGGAAATGGAAACAAATGAGAGTGTGGTGAAGAACGTGAAGGTGGGTATGTAAATAAATGAAGAAAAAGCAAAAGTAGGGGGAGAAACAAAAGCTTTATTGCAGTGAGAGCAAGGGGAAGAAGAGAGGGGCGTGGAGAAAGAGAGATGATGATGATGAAGAAGCTTTATACACGCATGCAATGCGCTTTTGGTGTTTTCTTTATCACGTGTTAAAGGGTCATGAGCCCCCCATCCATTTCCATCCCCCTCGGCCCTCGCGTTTAAAATTACAGTCTCTTCTCTCTCTCTCTCTCTCCTCCAATTCGGTTCTGTTCTGATCGCGCAGCCTCGGGGACGTACCATATACCATAAATTAAAGAGGAAGACAGAGAGAGGGCGTGAGTCCAAATGAGACTACTGAGTATTTATAAAAGCAATCATACACAGAAGAAGAATAATTCGAACTTGCAGTCCTCTCTACTGCAGACTTCATTTGTGCTGTGCTTCCTCTACCCTCAATTTTCTCTCTCTCTCTCTCTCTCTAATTAAAGCCTACTACTCCCATCCCATTTCAATTTTCTTTGAGACCCATTCATTTCTTTTGTCTATTTTGTTTTGTGTCTGTTCCCTATGCGTTAAAGGCCCAAAAATTCAATATTTTGAGGTGTGGCCTAACTAGACTATGATGGAGCGAGTGAGTCCATCTCAATTCTCAACTTGACCCTTTTCCTTGGCTTTTGCTACGCTTTGTTGTAACGGTCGATTCCCATGGTTTTCATTTTTGGGTCCACCACTTTTTCTCTTTAATTCCTTCCATTTTCACCCTTTCCTTTTGTTGATTTTGACTGATTAGAGAGTGAGTGGTATCGTGATTACTTGAGTTATATTCGTGTTGGTTTGCTATTTTTTTTTAATATTTTTGTATTTATGAGATAAATTCTTATTAGAGTGAGACAGATTTTATTGTATATATAAGGAGGGGTGAAATTTAGTGATGAATTTTGTCATTATTTATTTCAAGGTTAATGGTCTCATGTGGAGGTTGGCTTCTAAGGGAGTGTAAATCTTTGATTTTATTTTGAGATGGTCCATCCTAACTCCTAGTACAGTGAAAATATATGGGATAAACCTACGACACGTCTCATTCTTTGTGTAGTGTTCTTGTTTGTGCCCACCCAAACAACTAGCTTAGAAATCTCTCCAATTCCAATTCGGTGCTCGAATGAATCTGCTCTTTTTTATTAAGACAAAATAGACCTATTCGAACATCAATTCTCATGTGTTATGTTATCTACAAGATGATGATAAAGTTGAACAATTACAAAATAATAGAAACATTTACGAAACCTCAAAATTGTGTCTAACTATCAAGAACACACTTAAAAGATCTTTCTCTTTCATCATGGCTCGCACTCTCCCAAATGCTTCATGTGTTTTTCCACGTGGGCATAAAACTTAGAATCTTGATATACTTGAAATCACATCATTGCATTGCAACAGATATCTTTTTGTGTCGTCCCATGACACTAAGCACCATTTTAATGTCGCAATACATCATTCTCTAATTACTAAAAGTATACCTATCTAACTATGAGGCATACACATTTTTATTGTTATGATCGCCATCAAGACATATCTTCTAGACCCTCTCTTTCTCTATCAGTGCATAGCTCACCTGCTAGATGAAAATGATGATATATAAATAAAGATAATTATCTCAATTGATGCCAAAACTAAAAGTAAAATTCATAAAATTTATCCGATATTATTTGATATTATTTATAATTAGATGGAGTAACTCCTCAACTATGAATAAATAAAAACATAGACTAAAAAAGCCTTTGGAGGGAATTATGATGTGAAAGGGGAATGAAAATCCTAGTGGATATAAATAGAAATCGTAATGTTTACTTTATTTCCCTCAAGTCGTGGAGCTTAAAAAGGAAAACAAATTACATGTTTGTCTATTTATAAACAACCAACAAATCACCTGTTGACTCATAGAATCTTGCCACCAAATCAACGGCCAGAAAGAGAAGGGAGCAGCATAAGGAAAATGGGACGCGAAGTAGGAGATCACTTGCGTGGCCGATTTGGATAAAGGGACAGGTCAGAGTAGTGATTGTGTATGATGACATCCACGACCCGTAGAGGGGGGTTGAGCTGGGTCCCACATGCTACCTGTCCATTTTGTGTAATGGGTTTAAGTCTGATGCAAAGGCCACTCATTACACTTTGGACGGTTGTGATTGCTTGTGGGGGGAAAAAGAAAAACTAGTTTACAGATGATTACTCTCGTTGACGATTCTGTACAGTGCTGCGCTTCGGTGTGGGCAGCTCACACGCAATCATTCCTGTCCCCTAGCCCCATCATTTCGCCACGTAAGCCTTGAAACACCTTCTTTTTTCTTTGTTAAATAAGTCTGATGTTATATGTGACGCTAGTAAAATTTATAGACCAAAGTATTTGGAAAAATTAGTGAAAAGGATCAAACGCAACTTGGTCCTTAACTTACAAACGGCCGCCCTGCCATAGGACCACAAAAACCCCTTTAATTTATGGTCACATAAATCAATTTTGAAATGAGATTTAAAGCTTCGTATCAACGTATATGACGAAGATGTGTGATGTGTGCAGGACAACACTGACGAGATCGATCGAATTGACTATGACTCATATTGGTTAATTTAGTTTGTATTTAGTGAATGAGTATGGCACACACAAATATTTTAGGGTTTTGCCTATTTTGCGGCTAAGCCCATATAATTTTACTATTAATTTCATATTAATAGAGATGGTAAGTTGGTTAATCCCACGGAGAAAAATAAAATCTTGTGGGGGCATGGGCTTGTTTTGTTTTGCTTGGTGTTTTTTTGGCGATTGTGGCACTTTTTCATTCTCATTAGCGGGAAGAGTCCCACTCTTTTGAATATTGGATAAGAGAGAAGAGGAGTGACATAGAAGAAAATTTCTGGTACTACGAAAATATCATACTTCCTTCTACCACACGAGCAGTGTTTTAAAAAGAACATAAATTTTCTTCTCACACAGCAGTAAGAAAGATGGGCAACATTTGTTTTGCTTTCCCTTCATCCAACTAATGAGAGAACTTTTTAAGAAAGAGAGAGAGAAAGAAAGGGAGGAATAAGAGGGAGTTTCCCAAGTAAAATGTCCACTTCAACCAGTTGCCCAAGGAAAAAGGGATTAGAA